GGGGGGGGGGGTGAGAGTGGGAGGGGCAACAGAGGAAGGAAGCTGGAGGGTGGGGTCAGAGGTGGGAACAGAGTGGAAAAGTTTGGACACCTGCTCCTCTGCAAAGATCCGCAGAGCTCACTGCTTTGCCCAGACCTTTCCCGGCACACGCCTGGGCTGGGGAGGCAAAGCTGGACAACGCTGGGGGAGGAGCGCCTAGCGAGAGCCTACTATGTGCCATCTCGTGTCATCTCTTTTCATCCTCACGATGCCCCCACGAAATGGGTATAATTACCCGCTCCTGTTTGACAGATGAGGAAACTGAGGCTTAGAGTGGCTAGCTAACTTAACCAGCCAGGAGCACCCCTCTGCAGCTCTGCAAGGCTCTCGCCGCAGCTCCCTCCCTCCTTAGGGTTTGATTGTTCCGTGGCGTGTTAAAAGGCACCGAGGAGCATGGGAACCTCTGAGTTGGCGCCAGAGCTCTGGGCTCCCTCGCTGTTTCCGTCCCTCGGGACCCCAGGCGTATCACGATTTCTGTTTCACAGGTCTCGTGGCCAATCGTGGTGAGGGTTTGAGTTGCCGGGCCTGCCGTTTGGGACGGAGCGGGCTGGAGTGTCTGGGGCGAGATGGATCTGGGTGGTCAGGATGGGGGCGTGGGCAGCCAGCCTCACAATCACGTGGGGCTTTTGGTTCCAGCTCTAAGAAGCCAAACCATGTCCCTGGCCCCCAGGGCTCACAGCCTCACTCGGGAGACGATGCTATAGCAACAGCCATTTCTCAGTCTCGTTGGTGGCTGAATGTGCAGACCGTGGAGCAGGTCTGAAGGCCACGTCCACCACCTTCTTGGTCATGTATGACTTTAGGCAAATGACACACAAGGCTTTGGTGAGGCTGGAACTGACCTGGCTCAGCTGGTCTGGCCGTGCTCCTGTGGGACACAGACAAGGCCATCTGTGACCACGGTGGGTCAAGACAGAATCAAGACCACTCCCAGCCATGTCTGAACACAGACAAAACATGAATGTTGTCCAAGCCACAAAAATGACCAAACATCTTCGATCGAGCTAACGGAGCGGAGGCTGCCTCCTCTCCCGTTACAGCTCTCCCTTCGTTCTAGTCGTCCCTCCTTCTGGGTGAGACTGATCAAAACACCCACCCGAGAGCCACCTCCTCCTCCTAACCGCGTCTAATCCACAACAAAGTCCTTCCTCCCTAACCCCACCAGGCACCGAACACCAGCCCAAACCTCACAGCGAGGCCGTCTAACCCCCTCTTCCCGAGACGCCCGGGGCCGCACGGAGCAGTCCCTGCTGCTGCACCGCGTCCTGAACGCAGCTTGCTCACCGCAGGTGCGTTTCTGGTGACCTTTGGCAGGAAGCACGGACAGTCCCTGCCCCACCGGGCTGCTGCTGTACGGCACCTGGAATGATACACCCCAGGATGCTTCAGACAGACTTGTCATGCTTTGCCTTCGTGTGCATTTCACAAGGGGGACACTGAAGCTCCAACAGGGACTTTGCCCGGATCACACAGCTGGCGGAACAGCCAGGGTGGAAATTCAGGTCTCACGCCAAAGTTGGTCCCCTAACCCCCTACCTCTGCGTTACTAGGGCAGAAACCAACACTGCAAATTGGGCCAGTGTCTGGGAGGGCAGAGCAGAGGGGCCAGAGCTCAAAGAGGAAAGAGCCCTGGGGGCTGCGGGAGGGGAGCGCCCGCACCCAGGACATCCTCAGTGGCCCTCCCCTCCTCGTCGCCCGCCCATTTGTGACTCCCCTGACTGGCTCCTTCTCTCCAGGGGTGCCTGGCTGCTGAGTAAACAGGCCCAGAGAGGCCGAGGCGGGGGTCAGTGTCAGCAGAGCCTGAGGCCTGAGTCACTTCCTGACCGTTGCCTAAGAGGCTCCGGAGCCACAGCCCGAGTGGTCAGCCTGCGCCCTCGCAGGATTGCACCCGCTTGGGCAACGAGCACTTCCCTCGTATCCCTCACCTTTCTGGGCTCACCTCTGCCACACTCAGGTTTGCAAGCCCTGTCCCTACAGGGGACAACTGGATCCTCAGCCAAGAAACCCAAGGCTCCTGGACAGTTCTCTCTTTTCTGTGCCGTCCTGAACTTTGGCCTCCAGGCCTCTTCCAACTGCAGACTTAGGGTTCCTTCCACCCAAAGGTCAGAAACTCCGGTTGTCCCCCCAGGCACCTAGCCCTTTCCCTTTTCCTCCCACGAGGTCTCAGTCAGGGGTGGGGCAGGAAGGACGGGAGGGGGGGGGAGTTGTCAGACACTCTGGGCAGGATGTACTGAGGGGGACACGCAGGGTCTGAGCAGCAGACATGTCCTCATGACGTGGGCAAGGCAGATGGTTTCAAACACGGCCATTTCCTTCAAGGGCAATGCCTCTCAGCCCAGAGACACCGCACAGCCTCGGGGCGAGAGCCTGCACCCTAAAGCTGGGCTGTGCCAGCTTCTTCAGCCCAGCCCTGCGCCTTACCAGCTGTGTGACCTTCAGCAAGTTACTTAACCTCTCTGTACAATGAGGGCAAACAGCAGTACTGACTCACAAGCCTCTCACCAGGGTTGCGGGAGTTGTGTATGTAAAACACTTAGAAGAATGACTGGCAAATGGCAAACGGCGGTGTTCATTAAATAAATATTTTTTCTCTTCTAATGGGCTGACCCTCCCATTCATTCTCCACGTGTGTTTGATATCCTACCGTGCGTCAGGTATGAGCAAGGCCCGTGCCCTGCCGGCAATGCCTGCTGGGCGTTTCTGTGGGAGCTCTGCGCTCCTCCCCCACAATGGTCTTCCAGGCTGTGCGTGGCTGCAGGGCTCGGAGGGAGGGGCTGTGGCACCGAGCCTGAGGCCTGCGGACACCCCAAGGAGCACCCCACCCCCACCCTGCAGGCCACAGGCAAGTTCCTTCCCTTCCTTAAGCCTCCTTCTCTGTCCTTGACAAAGTGAAGCAACGGTCCCCGTCCCTTCCACAGCCCCGCTTCCAGGCCAGCGCGGCCGGACAGGTCAGGCTGGGCGCCGCACCTCTCGTGGCCGCCACTCTCGGCCTCCTGCCTCGCGCCTGGGAGGCCTCTGCGGTTTAGTTTGAGCGCAGAGTTTCCTTCATGCTGAGCACCCCCCAGGCACCGGGAGCAGAAGGCCTGGCTTGTCATCGCCGTCTAGGCCCTTAGGAAGCTAGAAAAACTATGAAACGGGACCTTTCAACCTGGGCTGGAGAGTTGATTATTATAGGATTACTGTGATTCATTTTAGGTGTAAAAACGATCTGCTGGTGTGTTTTTAAAATAATCCTTATTTTTTAGAGATGCAAAAAATATTTATGCATGAAATGATACAATACCCGGTTTTGCTTCAAAATAATGAGGGAGGAGGGATGCAGGTGGAATATAAGTGACCGGGAGCTGACGCGTTGGTGACGCTGCGGGATCAGGTCCCTGGGGTTCACTAGACCCTCGTCTTCAGTGTGGCCCCCAGACCCCGGGGGCCTGGGAGCTGCTGGGAAATGCAGAACCTGGGCTCCGCCCCAGACCAGCTGAATCACAAGCTGTATGTTAATAAAATAGAATCCCCAGGGGGTTCGTGTCCACAGTCAGGTGTGAAAAGCTATTTTATCTGTTTTTGTATAATGTTTGGAACTTTCCATCATCAAAAGGTTG